TATTCCCATTGGAGCTGTACGAATTTCGATAAGGGCTCGCCGAATAGGAAATGCAAAGTTTGAGTTTGTTTGCGCTAAACAAAGCCTCAAATGGAATTGAGATCGTGAGAGTACCATCTTATGGGGGCACATTAAAAAGGCAAAGAAACAGCATGTTCAACATTTCAAACACAACAATTAGTTTCCTGCCTCGACAGCGACAACAGCTGACACATCAGACGCAGAATCGGAATCAGAATTATTATTTTGTCGTACATAATTAACAGCAGCTGGATGGCTCTACACGTTGTACACGATATTTGCCAAGTCACTTTGGGCTCTAGGGAGTCGTTGCATGAGGTTGACGAACAGTTCTTGTAAAATGCATACGTACATATATATATTAGTAGTTGTGGTTGTACTTACTGCAAACGATCCTCGGCTGGTCCACCTTTGAGCACATCGCTGACTGCAATTGAGGGATCGCCGTTGGCGAAGTGGGGATTATCACGTCCACCGGAAACGGCAATGCCAAACCCGTAGCCGGGCACTCGAGTCACCGAAACTGTGTGATACTCCCATGTGGTACGATCGCCCTGCAAACACAGAAAAAAAAAAAACATTGAAAAGGTATTGTAATGAAATATAAAATACATATGCATATATACAAATATTTGTTATGTGTGTGTGTGTGTATGTGTGAATGTAAAAGAGACGACTATTTGCTTACAACTCTCCACAGTTCTCTCTCTCTCTCTCTCTCTCTTTAGTTTGCGTTTTTTTCTTCAATTTATTTCAATATATTTTAATTGAAATTTGTTAAGGATGGGCGCCCATCACTGCAACGAGGCGGAAGTGCACAGCAATGTGACTTCCGTTTTACAATTTACATACGAACTACACTTGCCTTAGCCCCAGTCAAAGCATTTTCCAATTTTATGCCCTAGCTCATTTTATGGCTAATAGAAAAATTACAACAGCAAAAATAAAAGTCATAATGGTAAATATTTTTATAGCTTTCGCAGTAAGTGCGATAACGTTATGAATGAGTAAGTGTGGCTAGAAAAGCAACAAGTTATATCCAGTTGAATACAGAAGTTGAGATCAACTGGTTAAAAGACTTTCACCACGTCAACATCAATTGACAATCTAATTTAAAGAATTCTCGACTTTCGCTGCATGGAAATTCAGTTGTATAAACTCAAGTGAAGTATCTAAAATATTCAGTCTATATATACTTATTTAAACTCAGGTATTTTGCAACAAATATATTTAAAACATTTCTGTCACTGGCAATTAATTGTTGTTTTTCGTTCCGCGACTCGTAAATCTCATTTACTTTCACTGCGGGTGGTGGTTCCTTCTGTCGATTCGATATGCGACCCTCAACCCTGAAGTCCATCAGAAAGTTGTTTGTGCGCGCTTAATTATATCTCAATCAGTAGACAAATCCAATCAAATCAATTAAATATATAAATCCCAGGCAGTTGCATTCGCTGTGAATCATTGCACTCAATTCAGAGACCCCCAGACTTGCCGCAGAGCCAATCCCCGATTCCGAACAAAGCGAAAGCCGTGCACAAGCCTCTGAGGTGGGCGCCAAGAAATAAATGGTGTTACGACTAGACGCGACGCATCCAATTTCGAAATCATTTGCAACTAAACAAAACCCAAAACTTAAAAAAAATTATATTAATTTCACGTGGGCTGTGCGCGACGTGTGCCTAAATTAAAAATAAAAGACCTCAAGCCATATATAAAAATAAACTTAAAAAAAAAAAAAAACGGAGAAGAATTTGTTGTGCATGCGTGGGCAAAAGTTATAAATATTTATTTTTTACACGTTTGCAGGTGTAGACATTATAGGCAAGGCTCCCCCTACAACGGGACCCATCCTTGAATTAGCATGAGATGCATTTGTTGTAAATTTTGTATTTTTGTTGTATTTTTCATTTTTCATCTGGCTTTGGGGTTTCTTTACGTTATGCTCCGCTTGACTGAGACATTAAACAAAAGATTTATATAG